ATATATATAACTTTTTAAATTATATTTTTTATGAAAGATAATTGTTATAAAAGAGTAATTTTAAAAATAACATACTATTATATAGATAAATGACGAGTGATTCAAATTCTTTATAATAATACAGTTAGTTGAAATTTATTTATTGTCCTAGTGATCGATTGTTATACGTTCATAATGATATTTAGTATTTAAATAAATTATTATAGGCAAATATAGACACAAATAATCTAATTATTTTTTTAAAAAAATATATATATTGTTTATATTAGTATGATTGGTTTCAAGATTTTTCCTAAATAAATGAGGTCTTCTTTTCTTAATGTTATTCTTAAATCATATTTTTTTATAGAAAAGAAAAATTATTTAAAGATGAATATATATATATATATATATATATGGTGTATTAAAATATTTGATCAAAAATCTCTAGATCTATAATTTTTTAGGTTATATTTTTTATGGAAGATGATTGTTATAAGATAGTAATTTTAAAAATAACATACTACTCGTATATAGACAATTATTATACTTGTGCAGGTAAAATATTGTTATAAAAAAGATATAAACATATTTAATATTCAATAAAGAGATATGACATCTTTAAGACATAATAAAGGTACAATAATCAAACACCCCTTCCTAATTAATGTCAGTTGCGTAAATGAAAATCACGATAAATATTTCAAGACGAAGTAAATCGGAATTCAAAAAGTCCAAGGTGAGAAGTCAAATAAATTTCTTTTTTTGATTTTCCACCCGATGTCTGATACCCATATTGGAGCCCTACTAAATTTGAATTAGCGCCATAAACTTACACTCTCTTACAAATGGATAAGTGAAACAACAAAATATTACACTAGAAACTTAGACTAAACAAGCATAAAATGGCTTGGCTAAGGTAGTTTTCAATATCTAACCTCTTTTTAAGCTTCATCTTTTTCTACAAATTGTCATACCATCACCAATAGGCACCTTAACAAAGCCAGAGAAATGATATCAGAACTTCATTATAAATGAAGAAACAAACAAGATGAACTCATGCTTACCATACTGATGTCGACGCGGTTATCCTTCATCAAGTTTTCATTAAAGTTTCTAATGCTAAGAGTCTTGGAATCATTTACCTGATAAGAAGATATCAGTTAAATCTGAATCATATTATGGAGTTGACAAACTCGGAAACTGTTTTTTTTTTTACCAGTGGATCGGAAACTCTTCCATGCCATAGGACATTATCGACTACAATAAGACCTCCGACTCTTACCTGTGAAAGGGAATGGCTTTTACAACTTCAAATTGCCAGGTTTAGTAAACAATACAGTAATTTTAGACGTGCAACGCACCAGTTGTAGCAGCAACTCAAAGTACTCTTGATACATTTTCTTTTCTGCGTCAACAAATGCAAAATCATATCTGCAAATGGAGGTATATAGTGAATGACTTCCCTCTTTTTGTCGATGTCACTGAAAGGACAACGAATTGTTTCCTCTAAATATAAATATTCGAGACATCTGAATTTGTTCCTCACCATGACAGATAGATTGATAGCTACTGCTGTTTCTTCTAGCCATCAACCTTCAATCTCGAAGTAGTGCAAGCGAGGGAAGTTTATAGAAAGAAAGTAACTTAACTAGAAAAAAGGGTTTAGTATTGTCACATTGCATATTAGAAAGTATCTTAATCCAACCATACTCCATCATAGCCTTTTCAGAATGAGGCATCTGACTCGAAAATCACATCTTTTATACCTTGTAATGGTGCTAAGTTTATCTAGAAGCAGTTGCTAAAAAGGGAAGAAACATAAATTCTATATGAGTTGTCACTCATAGTGGCGGAGCTGGGATTTTCACTAAGGGAATTCAAAATATAACGATGTAAACGTACAACGAAGCCATGGAAATTCAACATCTATTAATGCATAAAACATAATTGACCTTAAAATATATATAGTTTACTTTTTGGCGAAGGGTGTTCAGATGAACCGCTTTCCCTCCCCCCAGCTCCACCCATGCACTCATGTATAGAGTTGACAGCAAATTTATGAAAGCAAAAGTCGGTAACTAAACACCCTCAGCCAGATAATTTACCTGCAACTTTCACCATTTTGAATCAAAGACTTCAAAGTATCTGCTGCTAGACCATGTCGTACATCCACCTAATGCACAATCAAACTATCAGTGATATGAACATCAGAGACATTTAAGCACATATTTATCCTACTTCACCCTAAATAAGCATGAATAATGATAAGTTGATACAAAATAAGAAATACAGTTCATGTTTCAAATTTTATGTTATGCAGCCAATAAAACCCCCTAGAAAGTATAAAGTACTCTGAAGTAGAAGAATTTTAGCAGATATAGAATTAATAAAGAAAATATTTGCATGCTTAGACTCCATAAAAGAGAACAGTACTGACATGAGATTGAACCGAATTTTAATGCACCAATGCAGACAATTCAGATAAGTAGACTTTGTCTTCAAGGAAAATAGCATGAGAGATGAGGATATATCACATAGAATTAGAAAAGAATGGTTGAGAGATGCTATAGCAGTGTATGCAACGAAGATACCTAGTCAAATGAAAATCAAGCTATACATAATAATTTTGCGACTAGCATGTTATGCGAGAGCGAATTTGAAGCCTCTAAGGTCCATCATATCCACAAGATATGTATTATGAAAATGTAGATATCAAAGTGGATGTGAAAGTACATACGAAGTTGGACAAGATCAGAAGTAATAACAACACAGAAAGGTGGACGTATCACATAGAGAAGAATAAATTGTGCATTGATGCCTGAGATGGTTTAACCATGTCTTAGGTAAACCTCCAAAAGCATCAGTCTATTGGTGCACCAATATGATGATTGAAGGTAATAAAAGAGACGACATAGACCTAAAATCACATTTGGAATTCATCTAAAAAACTCTCGAGTTTCTATGGATCAACAGGAATTACCTGAGTACAGAACAGAACGTAAACAAAGGATTTTACGTGATATCAACTAGTTGGATTAAAACTTGGTTGATGTTACTCTTATATCAGGTCCAGGTAGGATAAGTGTGAAATGTAAAAGCTCTACTTTTAGAAAGCCCTTGATTTTCCTAAGAAGAGATTCTTTTAACATTATTGGAATATGCCATAATACCAAACCAAATACAGAGAATCCATATAACAAATCCCGCTTAGTTTGGAAAAGTGGAATGGTTGATAGATGGATGGATGAATAATAAGGTCAACAATTACTTCTATTTTTAGTAGATTGCATCTTATGATTCATATGAAATTCTAAAATCATTATCTCTCAAGTATAACAAATAGATTACATCTTATGAATCACACAGGGAGACACCAGAATCACCTTATGTGACACACCAGCTCGGTCATAATATCTTTTTGCAACCTCAATTGCTTTGCCATCTCTGTCACAAGCAACTAAATGACCCCCTTCTGGAAGGACCAAGGCAACAGCCAAGGATGAATATCCCTGTGGGACAAGAATGACTCATATTAATGACCGATAATACAGCCAATAGAAGAGGAAAACAACACTCAATGTACTAAAAGGCAATATGAATAAATATCATCGCTGACAGAAACCTGAAATAGGTTGCATACAAGTTCATTATACTGGTTAAACACACGCAGTTAAAGACTTCCCCTAATGCATGTGTGCTTCTTTGCTTTCTTACCTTTTAGCTTTCTATCTCATCAAATTTCAAATGAAAGCAAAAACAGGAAACACATTCCTATATTTGTCATTTGGCATGCAAGATAATAATCTGGAAAAAGAAATTTCCCATATTATTCCGTATTTGATGGCACAACGAATAGGCTCTCCTCCAGGTTTGAGGGATTACTGTATCCTCGACAAGGGATAAGGGACAGATTACAATACCAGGAAAGTATACCAGCTAGACAAGAAGTTCAAATAGCAAACACTCACAAGCAGCGGAAGAGTTCTGTCTCCTTTTTCCTATTTTGTTCTTTGTCCTTCATCCACAAATGACCCAATTCCCCTCATACTCCATTCTACATGAGCCTTTTGTCATGAGTCCCTCTATGAAGCCCACGGTCAAGCACCTCCTCTATGATGAGATACTCCTAGCATGCCTTCTATACTTTCTCTCCTTTTCTTCCATGGTGGAGAACTCACCCAGCAGCCAATGTACTATACTATTTTCTTCCGTAACATTTTCGGGCTAGTTTTTCTCTTTAAGCACTTCACCTCTATAAGGCCATCTTATCTCTACACTCTTCAACACAAATTGAAATAGTCCTACGATGAATACTAGGAAATATTTGTCCCTTCACGTACATCCGGAAAATTTAGAATGATATAGAGAAGGTACAAGTGAAGATCAAGTTCCCTTCCTCTCACCCTCTTTCTCTAGATTTTTGTTACTTTTGATACCAAGAAGACCAACATAAAGGATTTATTGACTAAAAAGAACCTACATAAAGGATAAGAGAGGTGCAACCTCCAATCAGTCCATATTAAAGTACGACAGAAGAAGGTGCACATCATCAAACGCATCCAGTGCCACAAATCTAATTTATTCAAGACATTGTTGTCGACTAGTCTAGGTAGCAAACACATTTCCAAAATTTTGGCATTTTCAATTTGCCATTTGTGTAGCTTTTGCAGCATAAGTTGTGAACAGCGTGTCCACATATATTTAAAGGGGAAGTACCAAACTTTTCTTTTGAATAGGAAAGTACCAAACTTTTAATATGAGTTAAGAAAAACATTTAGGCAAAAATATAAATCATGTCCATGACTATGAGTTCATAATGTAGACTTACAGTATATGTTCCCACTTCAATACACCTTTTTGCCCCAAGAATTTGGACGAGCATAGCAAGTAGTTGTGCTTGATCCGGTGACACCTAATACTAAGAACAGCAGTTAGTCAATATTGAAGTGTAGAGAATCTGTCAATCTCCTCATGAGAAAAATCATCACTGCTAATCACTGCCCTATCTTATATAGCAAAGTTGTAAGCCAATAATATAGAAGGGAAAATAAAGAATCGGTTCACCTTCAGAGACTTTTGCAGAGGGAGCACATTATTCCCTCAAGGAGCATAAAAGAGGAGAATGTGAACTTTCAAGACTTGCAATTGAAAGAGAAAAGTTTCCTCCCCATGGCCCCATGCTTTACTATAGAAGTGCATGGTCAAAAAACTCATCACACTTGACAAATTCTCTTCCAGAAAACTATAACCATATCTCATCCACTCCACTATATGATGAGTGACTTGGATTGTCTTTCATTTAAAGTTACAAAGTTTCTTCAACTCAATCTAGAGAGTCGGTTTTGCACATATCCACTTGAGTGAATTACAAAGGATAAACTTCTACAACCACAGAATTCTTTTTATTTAATCAGACTCAGTCAGTTGTTATGTGCCGTGGAACCACACGTCCAATAAGTTCAGAGGGACAAAGGGTCATAATAACATCCGTAGATAACCTTCTTTTGCAAATGATCCTTTAGATTTTTCAAGTATGAAAGAGACACTTCGTAATTAAATACAGAAACTTTACAGGTTCTTAAAGTCTTAGACTAGAAAGAGATCATGTGCATGTATCAAAACCATGAACAGTGGGGACAGCAGAACAGAACTTACTCAGGAGGGAGGTAAAGGAATATAACAGTCAGCAAAGCCTAGGCTAATGGATTACCTGCATCTGACTACCTCGCATTGTTGCTGTCTCCTCCCTAAGTTCACGCAAAATCTGAAATCCAACCAAAGAGAAAAAAATGAATACCTGATGGAGCCTCCTTCCTTTATTTTTCTTTTAATCTTTGTTTTCCCCACGTTTGGTTCTCTTCTCAAATTACTATGGGATTGCAACCAGAGCCTTTACCTTTGGTTCTCTAACATTGGTCAATATGTAGTCATACAGTGTCGAATCAACACTTATAATCTGTTTACTACCATATCTAACATCACTTGCAACAGTAACTGCACTATCATGATGTTTTGATGCCTGAAGCTGACAAAAGGAGAGAGCAGTTGTGGAAGACACATGCCTCGTCAAGGATAACACATCAGAGTGGTATATGGAGGGAATGAAATGGCCATTAAATTTAGGTCTAAATAATGCAAATGAATTGGTGTAGCTAAGCACCATCCGATTGGACATAGGAGAAGCAATCAACAGCCAATAGTCTGTGAGAAAGTTTAACTACCTGCAAGAGAACAAATATAAAAGGAAGTGCTTAGGAAACTATGTTGATGCGTCAGTTAGCTTCTACAACAGAAGGCCTCTACTTCTAATCATCAAACAAGTGCAACTCATGCAACTGTATATGGAATCAGAATTTACATGGCTTCTGGTTGAAGAGAGTGTTCCTTAAACAAACTTTGTAGATTTATATGGAAAGTTCTCAGAATCAAAATCTTAGGTAGGTTTGTCTTAAGGAATCTCTTGCTCAGAGTGTAAGTTGTGAGATCTTACCAAAGCAGATAAACAATGACATTTCACTAACTTGAAATAAGTCAATAACTATTAGAAATGAGTTAATCCAATCTACATGGGTAAAAGAAAGTCCAAATATGATAAATGTAGTGTGGAAGTAAGAGTATTTGTAAAACATGTTTCTAACAACTACTAGATGTCCCAAAAAGCAGAGACAGATATATGGGTCTCTATGGAGGCAAAATGATATGCAATACTGTTTAAGAGCGAACGAGAAGTGGATTCTATTGTTTCATCTTCCACTTTTTCCTAAAATTGAGTTTGTTGACAAGGTACTGCAGATCATTTTTGGAGCAAAAATGCAGACGGAAGTTAACTCATTCCATAATGGTATGACTGGTTGACATAGCTGAACCTCCTGCAGTATATTCTGGAAGACTTCGAGGGTGTTTGGATTGGATTTTCCAAAATAGCTTATAAGCTATAAAAGCTAAAAGCTATAAGTTGGCCATACCCAACTTTTATCTATAGTTTATTTTTGTACTTCTGGCGTAAAAATAAGTGCTTAAAAGCATTTTTTTTATCTTCCCCAAAACTACAAAAAATAGTAGAAGAGCTTAAAAGCCAAAAGCACTTAAAATAAGCCAATCCAAACACCCTCTTCATTCAGTAAAGAGACAACCTTTTGCAAGGAAAGCTGCATTGGAGGCACCTCTGACTAGTGACACCGAAGAAAGAGGCAAGGGATCCATGTTTAGTCCTGCATCTTTTGTTCAAAAGGTAACCATATTTACTTCTAAATATTGGGATTTATTTTTTCCTCTTAGAAGCATGGATAAGGTAGGCTCCAGCCAGTTCAGATATACTCTTGACTTGGAACAGTTCGGCCTTCGGAAAAATACATGAGAATTTGGAGAATATCTGTCTGAAAGAACTACTAATACATGAGCACGCAACTGAAGGCAGAATGAAGATTCAAGAGGAAAAATCTCAGATTTTGAATCTCAATCTGGAAATTCAGAGGTTGGCCAAAGCAGAGGAGGCCTCCGGAGACAAAAGTCCAGATGTTTGTGGTTGAAAGAGGATGATTGGAATATGTCCCTCTTCTCTATTCAGCCCCGACTTAAATACAAAAATTCAGTCAACAGTAATGTTCTAGCTTGTGAAGTGCGCTCTACTCAAGCATCCTGCATTGCATTCTTACCTCTAAACCAAATCCATGAGGGCCAATCATTTATCTGCCTTGTGAAAAATTTCTTGCAATTACCTCGTATAGGTTCCTATTTGTCTTTCTCGTCACCCATACACACCTACCAAGTTTCTATAGCTTTCCACCACTAACTGCTCGAACCGCGTATTTACATTACTCAGACCATTGATTTTTCACCATAATATCTTATCACCCATCTATTCTACTTCCCTTTGTATAGCTTCCAGAAACCTGACACCTACTCCACGGTTTAAAACATACCTTCTAACCAATATAAAATATGTCATAGGGTACCTAGGTCCTTTATTTATAGTTCTTGCTTAATTGGTCGAGGATCAGGCAAAGCTATATCACAAGCCAACTTTCTGTACAATCTTAAACTTCATTCACTTAAACAAACCTATAAATTACCATCAAAGTGCTCATCAGAAGCGGAGCTAGAGTATAGCTTACAAGTTCGTCCGGACCCAATAGCTTTGGTCCAAATCCTGTATTTGTCTTTAGAGATTTACTGAACATGCAAAATTTATCAATTTTAGAACCCAATAACTTAAAATGGACTAGATTCCCATACCCATATTCATGCCCATTCCCTATCTTATAGCCACTGTTTGTTGAAAAGGTTAGAAACATCACTACTACCAACATAACCAGACCTTACCCCTACCTTGGAAGGCAAAGAAGTTATTTTCGATAGACCGAAATCAACAAAAATGAAGACAGTCATATCAAAATACTATAGACAACAACAAAATAAAAACACCAAACAATAGCCATAACAAAAATGACAATCAAAGTAGGAAAAAGCTTCAATCTTTAAATGAAATGTTCAAATAAAAAGAACCCCTTTTCTCTTCCTGAACTCAATTTCCTCTATCAGTTCAAAGATTCAAGTAAATGAAAACAGGATTTGTATGATGTAATACTAACTAACTAACAAGCAAGGCAAAAACTTTATTCAACAAAAATCAAATTTGAAGAAAAAAAATATACTTTTAACCCACATTGGAACATTACCCAGAAAAGCAAAATGAAAGAGAAACAGAGATATTGACAAACCTCAAAGAAATCTATGGCAAAAATTAGCCTAAAAATGGAGTCTTTATTTCTACACTTCACTTCACACTCTAATATCTATCCTTACAAACTTTTTAAAACGGATGAGTTTTTCCTTTAATTTAATCTTAATCGTATCAAATTTTTTAATAAAATTATAAAATTTTTATATAAGTTTATAGTTATTTTGAAAATTGCGAAGATCTTTTTAATTTATATAAAAATTAAAAAAAATTTGAAATATATTCGAACTTTGATCGAACTTATTGTAACCATACTAAAATTTGAAAAGAATATTTTATCATGCATAATTTAAAAGTGTATTTTAAACGTATATATATTTCCACGTGGACATAAAAAATATTACATAATTATAAATACTAATGTATTCACCTAGACACATATATACTTTTAACATACACTATTAAATAGTGTAGGGACGAAATGAAAAAAATTCTCCATAAATTTAAGTATCATAATAATAATATCGATCAAAATTAAAATATTTTTCAGTCTCTTTTTCATTTATATATTAACAATATGTTTCATCTAATATATTAATATATTTTATAATATTTTCAAATATAAACCTATATACTAGATCGAAGACAAATCGATATAATTGAGATGGTTATATAGGATATTGCTAAATGACTAGAAAATTTGATTATAAATATAAAAAATTTAAAATATTTTTTTAATTTCAAAATAAACTAAGTTTTTAAAAAAATGTTCAAAAAGTAAAATGTCATTCTGGCCAAATTTTTTTTTTTCTGGTTTTATATATCTAATTTTAGTTACTATTAACTCTTTTTGCCTAGATTTATATGACGATTTTTTTTTTCAAGAGAGTTACGTAAAATTTATGTATAAATTTATTTGAATCTTGAAATTTGAAAAATGTCAATAAACTCGACTGGAGAATATATTAAACTTTTTTTATTGTAAAAAGAGAAAAATAATTTATTTTTTTTCTCCTTAAAAGTTGTCATCGTCTCTAAAGAAACAAAAAAAAGCCCTAAAAAACCTTAAACCTCCAAAGAAGCTCTCAACAATGGCGATAACCACAAAACTTGTTCAATTCCGGCCGAAACTGAAACACTCAAAGGTAAAGTTCTTCTCTTCTTCTTCTTCTACATCAAATTCGAATCCTGAACATACCGAAACACCTAAATCTGAGCCGAATCAAGCACCTACACCTAAACCATTCTCTTTTTCATCTATTGCCAGTAATCCCCAAAACCCATCTTCACAATCTGAAGCTCTTGACGAAGTAAGAAAAAGCCTTGCAGGATACCGTATCCGTACTGGTTCAGCACCATCACCCACGTCATTTAAAGAACTGTATCAAAGAAATGTCAAGTCTGAAGTTCCTTACAATGCGAATCAGAGACCAACCCCAGCCCCAGCTGGAAAACTTGCGTTTAATGCAATTAGTTCTAGTCTGCGTAACTTAAGGGAGAATAACAACTACAATAACAACCAGAATGAGAGTAGAGGGAAGTTGTATGAAACTTTATCACTTTCGCGATATATGGATAGTCTTAAGATGAGACCTGATATGGGTAAAGATGTGAAAGGGTCAGGAATGGTGATTGGTGGGAGTGGGAATTTGCCTGCATCTATTTTTGGGAAGGAGATGATGAGGGATAAAGAAGGTGATTACGAAGGGATGAAGATGGAGTTTACTAGGAATTATAGGCATGGTGAATTAGGGGAGAAGTTGAAAATGTTGAGGCCTGTAAAGAAGGAGGAGAAAGGTTGGTTTTCGTTACATGAGTTGAACGAAAGATTGATGAAGGTGAGGGAAGCTGATGAGATCGAGAGCAAGACGATGGTAGCTGGTGGCGTGTATAAGGATTTGAAAGAGTCTCTTTATATAATCAGTCAGAATGGTGATTTGAAGTCCAAGTTTAAGAAGACAATGAGTGAGTTTTTTTTTTCTTTGAAGTGCAATTTTCGTGTTTGTTTGTAGAACCATGTATGCTAAATGTTATGGTGTGAGTGATCTAGTTAGTATTATATTATTATGTAGTGTTTTTAACTGTAAACAAGCAGCCATAGGAACTTTAAGCATAAAGTTTGTATCTTGGTGAATAACACCACACAACACACACATGTGTATAATGCTACAAGAAATGCAAGTGTAGTTGCACCACGGGTGTGGTATAGGGGTCAATAAATGAAACGAGAATCATGGGAGACATTGTTCAAATCCTATAGCAAAAAAATTGTTAGGTGATTTCTTCCATATTTCTAAGCATTTTTTTTGGGGGGGGGGGGATGAGCTATTTGGTATTTGTGCTGGTAGGATTTAGTCGGTACCCCGTGGAAAAATTGAGGTGCACAAAAGCTGGCTGTACAACCACTATCATAATTATAAATATAATCGACAATATGTAAGTGTAGTGGTAATAAGTATTTGGAACTATTTGAGGTCATCTACTGATTGATTCATTGATTCTGATACATATTTTGTGATTGTATATATTTTTTTCTGATGTATCCTCAAAAAAAATATTTTTTTTCTGATGATTCTTCTCTAGGAACCAAGTCGCATAAGAGCACCTCACGAGAACTACCATGGGTAGAAAAGTTTCTCGCAAAACTTTACTCATAAGATGTTACATTTTTGTGGAAAATGTGCAAAGCCTTCACACGAAATTTTTTTTGGGTGAAGTAATCAAACTATATTAGTAAGGAATCAAGGAGATGCAAAGTTACTAGTAAAATAAAGAGCTGCATCAAGCCATTTGTAGCATTCTTGTTAGTGACTATTTGGTATAGCATAAGGAAGGACTCCTTTAGTACAGTGTCACCAAGCCATTTTTCTATTCAAAATCTTATTTTGAGTCCACTACCAGCTTTGGAAAGCACTTTACCGAAAAAGTCATCTTGGAGGCTGTTGATGTGGTTCCAAACCCCTACACCATGTGTACCCCGGCTCCATTGGCCTCCAGTTATCAAGGATGCCATGTTTGGCTTTAATTATACCCCTCTACTACCCTGCCTCATTTTGTCCAAACCTCCAAAGCCACTTCAAAAGCAAACATTTATTATGTAGTTGTAGGTTCCTGAGTCCCAAACCTCCTTGAGCCTTGGGCCGAGTGACGTTTTGCGATTTCACCAAGGGAATTTTTTAGTTTGGATGTTTCCTTCCGAAAGGAATCTTCTCCTTAGCATATCTATTTGTTTTAGAATTGAGCTTGGCATTGGAAATAGAGATGTACAATAAGTAGGAATGCTATCCAGAACACTCTTGATAAGAGTTACTCGTCCTCCCATAGATAGATACTGAAGTTTCCATGTAATTAGTCTCTTTTCCATCTTTTCAGTTACTACATTCTAAATCTCAGGGTATTTGAATTTTGCACCAAATGATAGACCCAAGCAAGTGGTAGGAAAGGAGCCTATGTTACAACTAAGTATGTCAGCAAATTTCTCTAGGTTTTGGACCTCGTTGCCGGGGTATATTATGCTCTTGATCATTTTAATGTAAAGACCAGAAATAGATTCAAAGACCATGAGAGTAGTATTGAGCTTATAAACTTGCTGACATCTGCTCCACAAAAAATCAGAGTATCATCAGCATAGAGCAAATGAGATACAATAACTGAGGTTGAAGAATCCCTGCCCACTTGAAACCCTTGTATCATTGTGGCTCATTTGCCTTTGCCAGCATTTGAGAGAGGCCCTCCATAGCCAAAAATAAAGAGGAAAGGAGAGTGTGGGTCTCCCTTCCTTGGCCCCTTTTGGGAGGAGAAAAATCCCATTAGACTTTTGATTAATAGGATTGAGAACTTCACCGTTGAGATGCAGAAAAAAACCAATCTAATGCACTTGTCACCAAATCCCATTTGTTTTAGAATATTGACCAGATAAGCCAATTTAGTTGATCAGAGGCCTTCTCTATGTTCAATTTGCATAAGATCCCAGATTCACCACTTATGATTTTGCAGTCTAAAACTTCATTGGCGATCATGGATGCATCAGTAATTTGTCGTCCCTTCATAAATGCACTTCGTTGGTCTGAGATTAGCGAGGATACCACCCTTTTAAGCCTCTCAGCTAGAGTCTTCACCAAAAGTTTGTTAACACTGCCTATAAGGCTTATAGGCCTGAAGTCCTTTAGTTCCAGGGCACCTTTCTTCTTTGGGCTGAGAGCAATGAAAGTGGCATTGCAAGACCTCACTACTTGGCAATTCTGATGGAAGAAAGTGAGGACTTCCATTATGTCAGATTTTATAAAGCTCCATGATTTCTGGAAAAAGGCTATAGTAAAACCGTCCAGGCTTGGTGTTTTGTCAGGAGCACAAGATTTGAGGGCATCTAATGCTTCTTGTTCATTGAAAGGTGCTTCTAGCTCCTCTTTTTGTTCAGCACAGATAGTGGAGCGTCCTTCAAAAAACAGCCAAGGGTCTCCAAGCTTCTTCTTCTTTGTACAACTTCTGATAGAATTCTTGGATTCCTTCCTTTATCAGCTCTTTGTTCTCAATTAAATCATCCCCAATCCTCAATCTATTAATGCAGTTCCTCTTTCTACAAGAGTTCATTATTCTCCGGAAAAAAGTTGTATTCTTATCACCTTCTTTTAGTCATAAACATCGAGACTTTTCTCTCCATGAGATCTCTTCAACAAGAGGAGCTAGAGTTAAAAGTTGTATTCTTATCACATAATAAGAATACTCCTTTGGTTCCAATTGCCTCGAGTTCTACCCAAGAAATGCACCTATTTCCCCAAACCTGTATAATTAAAGAGCTGGTCCACTCCTCAATTTTGGTTTCTTGTAAACAAATGATGTATGTTTCCCATTTATTATTAATGAAATATTTCAAGGTGCATCTCTTATTTTTATTGTTCAGCCCCTATAAATTCCAAATGAGTGTTTTGACACTCATCTAGAATGAGCCTTGTGAGACCTGCCCCTATCTTTCTTACCACTGCCCTCTTGAAGTCCCCTTGCTTATTCTTAACTGGAAACTGTCCAGTCCAACTCTCACCCCTTATCACTCTGTGTACTATGTTATTAGCAGCATCATGATCCCGAGCATCTGTTAGGGGTTCAATGAGATCACTTCCAAGAGCTTCTGCAGCTGAATAATATATAATTTTTCA